TACAAGAAAATCAAAGGGAATACTATAAAATAGATTCATTTATAACATAATAATATTCCTAGGTACATTGTCCACATGTATAGCCAGCTTAAAGTGACATGTCCTCTAATATTCATTAAATACATAATTAAGCCTACAATGTATAGAACTACTTGCCTAATTCTTTCTTGAGGCTCTGTCATCCTGATTTCTTGAAAAAGTTAGTAAGGACGAGCATCTATTTTATCATTTACAAATCATTACATCACAGAATCATAGTTGTAATATAAAAAATTATATTCATTTTCACAACCCATTCACATATACACAACTCAAGAATTTATTATACGTTATCCAATTTCTCTTTCCAATATGCATTTCCAGTGCACTATGATCACAGATATCAATGCCTCCAGCATTTCTTGAGGTCTTACTCAACTAGGTAAATAGTCGCCGGTCAGGAGTCTAGTCAAGAAACGAGTGCGAGGCCATGTGACCATTCGTTTTCAGAAAGAGTGTGTACACATACGCAAATGTCGCTCACCATTCTATGTTTCCCCTAGATTTTCCATCGTCTCCAGACTCTATACCCCACTATATCTCTGTAACTATTGACACTAGATTTATTCCATTTGACACTTATAGTCATTCTCAGAATCATTTCCTTTTTTTTCACTCATAAGATTGTGCTTAGTAAAGCACTTCTGGACTAAGTCCACCTTACCCATATTATTAGAATATAATTTCAAACATCATATTCTTCAAGCCGATATCATATTTTATCACAACCATAACTATTCATATACATATTTCATGTTATCACATCATGATCACTCATCACATATTTCATGTGAACATATCACAACCAATAAATCCAGACAATCAAACATGCATAATATATTTCAAACATATACTTTCACAACAATTCTTGTATAATAGTGCTCCAGTAAGCACAAAATAAACATTTTAATAGAACGATAAAACAAAGCTCTCCTTACCTTGATTGGAGTTTGTTAAGAGATATTGATAAAGATTTGAGTTCAACCATGGAAGTTTTCCTGAGTACCAAGAGGTATCTGTGAGAAAGAGAAATGGAAAAAACGATCGGAGAAAATGAAGTTTAATTAAGAGAAACTTATTTGGAGTCGTTTAGATTCAACGTCCAAGCTTGAATTTGAAGAGTAACTAGAGTTTGAGGGAGTTTTATCTAAGTAAAGGAAGTGAGAGTTCAGAGAAAATAAGAAGGGAACATGAGGTTGTAAAATGAAATGAAATTTCCATGCTGGAAATATCTTAAATACCCCTTAACCCCCTCCCCCCCGCTCTCTCGCTTGATTGAGGAACATCTCGCTTGAGCGATGGCAGCTCACCTAAGCGAGAAAACCAAATAATGACCTCACTAAGTATTTCATGATATGCTCGCTTGAACGAGACCAAGCTCATCTGAGCGAGATAACATCCAGAGAGTTGCACATTTTTCTTGTGAGTCCTCACCTAAGCGACTCAGCTCGCCTGGACGAGATTACTGCTCCCCCGAGCGAGATCACCTCTGGAACCCCTGTATGAAAAATGGGTGTTACAGACTCTTAGAACCCTTGTTCGAAACCCTACTAGAATTTACCATAGTATCGTTCCTCCTAAAGATTCATAACTACCTCTAGAACCCAAATGGAAGGATGTTGAGGTCATTGAATCCTCCACTCGCCCTTTTTCCAGACCTTTTTCTTCTATTCATGTACCACCCTCTAATAAGGCAGGACCTTTTGTATGCCACCCATCACTATCACTACCCTAGCCTCTATCTCGATCACCTCTGCCTTCTATTGGTTAGAGAGACAGTGATGATGGGCTTCCTTCTACCCCTCACTTTAGGACTTAGAGCACAATTACTTCTTCAAACAGTGTAGAATCGGATCCAAGTGAAGACTTCATTCCTTTAGAGGAATTTGTGAAGTATATAGGTTTTCTTTATTTTATGTTTTAGTTGAAACTACTCCAAAGGTATGGTCATGTATTTTGGTTTTAATTTTGAGGATTTGTAGTTGGGGTTTGTTTTGCTCCACTTTAATGAGTGCAAATATTTTACTATATTGTGGATGTCTTTATCATTTTGAATAACCCTACTAAGCCACCCAAAACTTAGATTTTTGCTTGTCCTTAAGTAAACCAGAACACACCAAGAAGAATTCAATGCATCATCAAAACAACAATGAAAATCTTTTTACACAAACTTTATTTTCAGTTTGTATAGATTTCTACATTCCACATCATTCCTTCCAATTATCCTTTCAACAAATCTTTCATGTATTTAGTTACAATGAAAGTCACACTTAAACAAGTCTTTTGTGCAAAATCTTACAAATCTGATCTAATGAACAGCAAAGTTACATGTGAAACATCAATGAAAGATATCATTACCACTCACAAGAAAGTGTTTCCCTCTTACTCATTAGTGTTTAAGATGAGTGTTTACCATCAAGATCATCAATTTTTACCTCACTCTACCATATGCTTGCCCATATTCTCAATCTCCTCTGCTTAATACAATCAATCACATATCAAGAGGACTTTTTCCAAGTTATAATAGGGCTAAGGTTAAGGTACGTATTGAAAAAAAAAAGAAACAAGACATTTTAAGTGAATAAACTTAAAACTAGCATGGAACTGCATTATTTTTTCATGTTCATTCATGCAGCAGAATTTTAAATTTTCTTTTTTTTGCTTTCATTCACTATTTTCTTTTCACGCATACAGCAAAATTTTTATACTACAACACTTTGCTGTATATCTTTCTTTTGAACTCACAACTTTGCTATTTATTTCTTTCCTTTTGAAACCAAAACTTAGATAGCGTTGCTATTCTCTAACCCAAACTTAGAACATTGCTTGTCCTCAAGCAAATAAAATCTGGATGCCACCCCAAAAACTTAGTTTTAAACTCATCCTTGATTAGACTCAATATGCCTCTTTTCCTTTGAATAGTTAAAATGGTTTTTCATCAAAGTATGTAATGAGGGAAAATCAAGGAAGGGATATTAAGCTCAAAGGGGTGAACTAGGACATTCAAGCACAAAGGGAGGTTCATTTAGGCTAACTAGGCACAATCAAAGAAGGCCTCCATTATATATGTGAGAACTGTAAAATTGCATATTCAATCAAGAAACAAAGCAAGTTCTAGAAGGTGCAGCAAAATTAAGATCAATCACACATGAAAGAATATATTTTGCAAAGCTCAAATTCTTACCGTTAGAATAAAGGTGCTAATATCAATCAATCATGTTCACAATTCACCTTACAAATTCATATGCATAAATGGTAAGAATCTCTTTATTTTTCAAAATAAAGTGTGACAATCACATGAAGAAGTACACAAACAGAATATTTACCCCGAATTCATAAACAGAGAAATGGAAGAAGAATTTGAATTATTCATCACAAAATGGAAAAAGAAACGTAATACATAAACAATCATGAACATATACATTTTTTTTTTCTTGGTTTAGTTCAGTAGGAAATATGATACAATTCAGCACATGAATCAAGAGGTAAAGAAAGAAATAACTCCCCTTTACATCAGAGGTGTTGTTCCAACAAACCACAACAAGCTACATCAGGAAACTTCCTTATATGTCGATACTTTCACTGCCACAAGCAATTGTAAAGCAACCAGAAACTCAGATCATACGGAAAAATAAAACTAAAAACCAAAAATTAAAAAGAAATGAAAGGGAAAGAAGTGTGAGTTTCCTCTCACAAAGCACTCTTTTAACATCACTAGCTTGACGCCTATTGATCTTTGATTCTAAGAGATGATTTTGATGATAACGGCTCTTGCTCTATCTTTAAACGTTTTCGCTTTTTCTCACCAACTTGCAACTCTTCATTTAATTCAGGACTTGAAAGAAATAAAAGTGGAGGGATTTCCAGTAGTTTGATATATTCATTAAGCTTTTTTTCCTCCTCTTGATCATCTTGATATGCCACTGAAGAAAAAACTTCTCTTATAATAGAATAATCATTCTCTTTTTCTTTCTTGTTGGTTCTTCCTTCTAGTTTAGTGCAGTTGTTGTCCTCTAAATTTTCTTTACTTAAAAGAGTGAATTTCCCTCTTTACAAGTTGTCTTGAGCTTCTTTTTCAACATTCTTTGTAGCTATCTTCTTCTCCTCATCTTTTAGATTAGAAACCTCTGCTCCACTTCTTAATATGACAACATGGCATTGCTTCCTTGGATTCACAATAGTATTGCTAGAGAATCTATCCTCATCCTTATGTGCCAAGTGCTGTGAAATTTGTTCTATTCGAGTCTCCAACTTCTTCGTAGATTCCTCTTGATTTTTGTAGTTAAACTGTGTAATTTCTATAAATTGTAGCAGTGTTTCCTCCATTTCATTCATCCTTTCAGACAAAAGTTTTGAAAATTGTGGCTCTCTTGGAGATTGAGATGAAGAAGCTTGACAATATGACCATGGAGGCGGAAAATAGGCATAGGACAATGGTGCTCCTGCAATATCACTTTTTGTTGCAGAACTTTGTTGATTCCATTGATAATGTGGTTGACTTCTATTGGCTTGATATTGAAAATCAAAATGGAATGGAGGTTGAGTCCTCTAAAATCACCCAAGTAATTAATATGTTCTTAAGGTTCTGGTGTAAATACATCACATGCTCCATTCATATGATTTCCTCCACAAAAATCACATATCAAGTAGCTTGCTTTTGCAGCTCCAGCTTGAAAAGTATTGATTTGTTGAGTCAAGGCTACAAGTTGTTCAAAAAGTAATTGATTTTTCATTTGATTTTGGTTTAACAAAGTCTCAAGTGCCTTTGCTTCAAATTCTCCCTTACTTACAACATGCCTCTTACTGAAATTCTGATACATGTTGGTTGCCATCATGTCAATTAATTGCTGAGCTTCCTCTATAGTTTTAGTATTCAATAAACCTCCTATTTTGCATCTACCACGGTTCTTGTGAGAACATTCATCCCATTGTAGAAAGTTTGGATTTGCATCCACTCTGGAATGCAATGATGAGGACATCTTCTCAACAAATCTTTATATCTTTCCAATGCATCATAAAGAGATTCACCATCTTGTTGAAGAAAAGAGGTGATTTCACTTCGCAACTTGGCAGATTTTGATGGTGGAAAGTACTTAGTTAAAAATTTGTTCACTAAGTCAGTCCAAGTAGTGATGTTTCTTTGTGGTTGAGCTTGAAGCCAATATTTAGCCTTGTCCTTAAGAGAAAAGGGAAATAATCTCAAGCGGATAGCATCTTCACTTACACCATTGATACGAATGGTGTCACATAGCTGTAAAAAATTATAGAGATGCAGATTGGGATCATCTAAAACATTTCCAGAGAATTGATCTTGTTGTATTAATTTTATCAATGTAGGTTTGATCTCAAAATTGTTTGCTTCAATTGTTGGTCTAACAATACATGAATTATAACTCTGCATAGTTGGAATGGCATAATCTCCCAAGGTCCTTGTTCTATTGTTTTCAGCCATATTGTTCTCCTTTGCTAGTGTTTGGTTCACACTTGGTTCTTTAAAAGTGGATGTTATCTTCTGCACTTTCTTTTGCAACTTCCTTGCCTTTGCTTCACTATTTAATTGCTTAAGAGCCTTGTCTATATCTAGATCAAACAATAAAGCAGCTTTATTTTTTGTTTTTCCTTGTATGCAAAAAGAAAGTAAACAAAATATAAATGAAGTTAGAAAATTATGAAGTAAAAATGAATTATGCAGAAAATTATTGCAAAACGTTGCAGAAAAGTACAACTAAATGCAAAAACAACAATGCATTATGCAGAGAATTTAGAAAATTATGCAAAATGAAAATTACAATTATGCAGAAGAATGAAAAATGAAATTATACAGAAAATGCAAAAGAATACAAAAAATTATGCAGTAAACATAGTGCAGAAATTATGCAGAAAGATTAGACAATTTGAAGAAAAATTAGAAAGCAAAATAACAAAAAGAAATGCTCAATCTAGCTATCTCTCTGTTACTAATGATATTGAAAATAAATAATCCTCGGCAACGTCGCCAAAACTTGTCACAAAGCTGAGAGAACACTAACTAGCAAGTGTACTAAGTAGTCGTAGCAAGTAATAAAAATTGGAATTCAGTTTGAGTCCCAAGTATCGTCCTCAGGGATTAATTCTATCAATTACCACTTCACAAATCAATAACTAGTTAAGCTAAACAAATTTTGGAGTGTTTTGAGTATTTGCAAATAAAAGCAATAAAGTGTAGAAACCAAAAAATAACAGCAAAATAGAGTGACAAATTTAGAAATGAATTGATGTGTGAATGGAGTTAGGACTTATTTCACCTCTTTATCAATTGCAAAACTGAAGTAGATATGAACTCTAAGTTCCTTAATTGATTAATGATCAATTTCACTTATTTAATCAAAGGACAATCCCTTGCCTGAATGATCCTAATATTCAATTAACTACCCTAATTCCTTAGGTGTAAATCAATCAAACATTGCATTAAGTATGAGAAATTAAGAAATCATAAGATCATGAATTCTTAACCCTAAGATATCCATAACCTTGACATTCAATTCAGATCTGAGAAATTAACTCAACTTCCATTGATGAAAATCCTCTAGGTTCAATTCAAATGAATAGCTAATTCAAGAATTGCATTAAGGAAAGAATTAAACATTCAATACAATCAAGATCTTAAAATCCAGGTCCACAATCAATTTACAATATCAAAATCGGATCCATCAATCCATAACAAAAAGAAATCAGAACATGTTCATAGAATAAAAAGAGAGAGAAAGAGTAGAAGAAGAGAAGCTACAGAATTTCTTCATAAATCAAATCTCCAACCTGATTCCTCAAGGTTCAAAGCTTGGAAGTCGCCCCCAATCTCCTTTTCTAACTCTCCTAAGGTGTGAAAATGAAAAATAAGAAAAAGATACAAGTTTATGGGCTAATTTCTTATTTATAGAATTTCTCGCCTTTCTGGTGTGATAACTATTTTTCATAAAAGTAGCAACGCAGAGGTTCATGGTCTGCACGTGTTAACTTTCGTGAGCAATAGGAGTCACGCGCAGCTTGAACGATCACTTTTGTAAGGAAAAGTGATCACATGTAGCTTGAACGATCACTTTTGTCAGCAATAGTGATCACGCGCAGCTTGCTTTGCTAGAGACTTCTCTAGAACGATCACTTTTGTTCACAAAAGTGATCACGCGCACTTTGCTATGCTGGGGAACTCGCTGGAACGCTCACTCTTATAAACAAAAGTGACTGCGCGTGCTTTGCTTTGCTGGAGAACTCTCTGGAACGATCACTTTTATTAACAAAAGTGATAACACCCTACTCTTGCTTCACCAGACCTTGTTCCTTTATTCTAATTTTTGCTACTTTCTTCTACTTTCTCTCTTTATCCTCCAACCTTATGATCTCAACTCAGAGTTTCCTGCAAAATAGATTCTAATAAGTACTTTTTACATAGAAAATTCACAAAATTTAAACAATTAAACTATTTAGAAATGAATTGAACATTCTATTATTTTTTTTGAGTTTTCCAGCTTTCTGCATCATGTTTTTCATATGAAATGTATTAAAAACTAAGGTAAAATACTAGTAAAATTTGCATTTATCACCCTACTGACAATATAATACTGATGAAACGATTTTAGCTACTCGTCATGCAAAAGATTGTCGTTAATCCTCATCAAATATGCAAAGAAATAAATGCAGTACTAGGGTGTTGTCCTAGATCGTCTCCAAGGAATTTTTGGTTGGGAACATACATCGAACAAGTGTGAACATATATTTTAAAGCAAGTAAATTGGGGGGAGGTTTGTCAATTTTCAGATTTTAATCAAGAGCAAAGTGTAAACTAGTGAAATTCAATCAATTAAAATGAGTAATTCCTAGTCAATCAATGAGTTCCATCATTATTCTTTCAAATGATTCAATAATCCCCTTTCTTTCCCTTGAATTAAGTTAATCTAACAAGCGAAAATTAACTTTAACATCCCAATTAAAATTAAGCATCTTAATGGGCTCCAATCTCTATCCCTAAGATTAAGCAACCTCAAGGATTAATCAAAATTAAGCAATTTTGAATTAGAATTTCGTTGGGTAATTTAGGGTTCATTAAGCAATGTTCCCTTCATGCAAATTCCATTTCATTCAAAGATTAGGGTCAATAAATTCAAGGAAAGAAAGATTTGTATTGCAATTAATCCCAAGAATTCAAGATTCATGTGCATTGACTAGGAATTACAAGGAAGTTTAGCCCTCCATGTGGATGGGTTTCACAAATGAAAGAAAGAAATGCAAGAACGTAAGTAACATTAATGTAAATTCAACCAAAATCAAAAGGAAAATTGGAAGTTAAAACCTATAGAGGACCCTTGGCTGTCACCCAAGACTCCAATGTTCTGGAAAAATGTCTCAATTTGGCAAAGGAAAATTTTGTAAAGTGTCAAAAGTCCCGTACCCTAATTCCTAAATTCTATTTATAGTGGATGACAAGTCAGCAAAGTGTCCACTTTTGCCTTTGAAAGTGTCCACTTTGGGCCTTGAAAGTGTCCACGCGCAATTCTCGTAAATCTGTCAATTCTCGGGAGTTGCCACTATTGGTCTTGGGCTTGAAAGTGGCTACTTTGGAACCTTTAATGCCCAGACTTGCTGTAGTTGCCACTTTTGCTCCTAAAAGTGGCTACTTTGGGGGCAACTTTCATCTAAGGACCAAGATTTCTCAAAATTAACTTGGGGACTCTGCAAAATTATCAAGATAATTAAAATTGCAATCTATATCTATGTAATTAAATGAAAATTAACCAAAAATTAATAAACCTATGATATTTACTCAAAATGTGATTTCTATATTATTTGCACTATCTAAGTCCATTTTTTCTATCAAGGAGCACCAAAAAGGCAAGTAAAAATATAATAAAAAGTGGATTCATCAAATACTTACCCTGCCTGATAAGAAATTTTATCTTGTTCTTTATTACAGTCATCTTTATTACAATGAAACTAAGCCCTTGATAGGTGGAGATTCTCTTGTGAACTTCTATGATAATCATGATGACAATGTGTTCATAAGACATGTAAATTGGGTGAAATAATAATTGTATTCCTATCTTTAATGGATAGATGGAAAGCTAATTTCAACAACTTTGTATTTTGTCATGTCTTTTTTATGGATTGACATACATGATAGCTATTTGAAAGTGAGCATTGTATATGTACATATGTTTATACATCTAAATATGTTTATCAGGTTAGGACATGGTGTAGAGATCAATTCTTCCATTTAGACTTAGTATATTAGATTGCTTCATATGATTGTGTATTATTTAAACTTTACCATGTTGAGCATATTAGACGATCTAATTTATGAAACATCACAAGACCTGTAAGAGCTAAAGGAACTGATAATTTTTTACCTTAAGCCTCTACCGAAAGCCTAGTGTAGCTTCTTAAATACCTCACTCATGTCAAATCTATATGATAGCCATCTAAGTATAGAAAAGACCAAATTACTATATGTAATAGTAACTAACATGGAAATTAATATAGTCTCATTTCTAAAATATTAAGAGAGATGATTAATTCCAATAAATTTTCTTTTGGTTATTCTTTATTGATTTTTCTATTAGTTGCAAAGACAAGTGTTTTGTTTGCCTTATAAGATATTCCTATAAAGTCAGCAAGACCAATTAAGCCCAAACGATCTAGGAATACGAGGAAGCTTACAAAAAAATAGCACTTACTTCTACTTAACAAGCAACAAAGAAGAAAAAAAGAGAAAGGTGCAATCAATTAAGGACTACTTGCAGCTGATCTATGATAGGCAAAGGATGTTCCACAACAACATGAAGAACTATTTTAGTAGACATATTCAAGCCATACAAATGAACTTTATGAATATTTATGCCAATCTAGTGTAACTTTCTAATAAAATCATAGTAAAGGAAGGCATAGTGTAACACCCTCTTTTTATTATTTACTATTAATAAATTGTTTTAATGTTGAGATGTCTTTTATTTTTTATTTGATGTCTTTGATAAAGGTTTGGTGCAAGAGGTCTCACTCAAGCGAGACTGTATGCCTAAAACCACATGATTTTAGAGCATT